ATACAGTTGCCTGAGATGGAAAAGATTTTTCTCGATCATTCTTTGAAGTTTGTAAATAGATAGATTCATCGAAACCACTGTTTGTATTCAGTAATTTCTCGTCATCCTTTGACTCATCCTGCTGCATTAGGATGTCAAACTCATCTCTCTTCTTCACAGGATTTGATTTGTGACTTTCATGAAATGCCCTATGTTGTTCTTTCCTCATTGACTCAAATGAAGCTGCAAATAAGTTTAATTATAGTTGGGAAAAGTTATTTGAACAACATCTGTAAATGTACCAGTTGGTAAATCAAGCATCATGAAGAGGTGATTACCTCTTCTCTTTTTTTCCTCTTCAACCCTATTGTCACTCGTGTCCTCGGAAGAACCAAAAGTTTCGTGATTGTACGAATCATTAGTATTCCCTCTTTGATGGGCTACAGCCTGAGTAATAGAAGAACAACGTCCATAAGGTGAGGTTAATCAAAATAATTTCAAAACTTTGTTCGCAAAATAGTTCTGGTTATGCTAAAACATGTATTATAGAAGGAATAACCATAATCGAAGGATAGAAATTTAATTTAAATGTTGTTCATGAGTGAAGAGATTCAGAAATATAATGTGAACCTTGTAAGGGCGAGGTGGATGATATGGCTCATTGCTTCTGTTGAGCTGGTACTGATCATTTGCTCGAACCTTTGGTGCCGAAAATCCTGTTGCATATCCGGATGGTCTAGGAAAGGAACCACTACCAAGAAGTCCATCATGTTCGGGACCCTGCGAAGACCTCCTAGAATGGTCGCCATATCGCCACCCAGAATCCACTGTTAAAATGAATACTTCAAAGGTAAATAGTCTAACAATTTCACCCTACACTGACTGGTTTTAAGTTTTAACAAACTCAGATCTACAACAGTTAAGGATATTGATCGAATGCAAATGACATGTTCTCAAGGTGCTCTGCTTTGGAATAGAGTAATGTTGACAGAGCTCCATGTGTCAGCAGCATTTGAGCAAGCGGAAATATCATTATCAATATATGCTACATGCACGTGCATGAATTAAATTATTTTTCAAGGCAGCAGTGTTTTTTCAAATTAAATCAACTACGGCAGGAACCCAACAAGCGAAACAGTATATGATAATTCACATTAGTATTGAAGAATGTAATTGCTTAACTTAATAATAGATTAAGATGAGACCTTACCTGAATCCCTATCGGATTGTGAGTCACTATCCTTATCACTTCGTCCAGAAGTATGAACGTCCCTCTTTCCATGTATGCGACGAGAATAATTAGCCGTTTCTGCCCTACTGGGGGGTGATGAACCATACTCATTGCACCTAAAACTACTAAAAGACAAACCTCCAGAAACTCTTTGCTTATCATAGGAAGCTTCTTGAAATTCACTGCACAAGGGGGAATGTACGCTTAGAGAAACAATCCAACAAGGAAATATAACAAAACGACCACAAGGCTAATGTCTGGTTCTTTCTTTAGTAGGATACAGGCTTCAGTAATGCATATGGAGCATGAATAACAATTTAACAGTAATCAGAATAATAGAACAGATGCACGAAAGGGCATCTTACGCAATAATTGATTGGTCAAAACCGCTCGGCAACTTTTTGCAGACATTCAAATCGCTGAGGGACAACAGGAAATCTCTCGTGTAAGAAAACTTTGGTTTCCTGAAACAATAGGGAAAATATAGTCAATACTAGCCAGCATTCAAAGTGGAAGACAAATAATGCGGGAGATAAAAGAAATAAGAAAATAAACCACAGGAATCGTAATTGAAACTGCAAATTGTAGGTAATTACTTTCGTAAATCATGCTGTACTGTAGCAGTCTGATCGTGTGCGTTCGAATCATCCTTCTTGAGGCTCATGATCCTATGCTTAATCTAAACAAGTTTACCAATGCAATCGATCAATACGCAAAAGCCTTCAACGGCACCAGAACCAGTTTACTAAAGAACAGCGAGAGCTTAACAAACAAAGCCGCCGAAGATTGCCGCTAATTCTACGCTTATTGAATGATATACCGGCTCATTCTTTAGAGAGGATAATTTGATTTAATGCACGAAACACGCTAAAACTTCTCTCCGTCACCTTGTCCTCGAATTTGTTCTTTCAATCGAGCCTAATTCAAGTCGGACAGCATTAAAAACGCAAACTCAGAGGCATTCTCATGTTTGATCCAGCTGAATGCGCATCAAAATCCATCAAAAAGTGAAACTCCATTAATCCAAGCTCCCTCCGCAAGAATTTATTAATCTCCAACTCCCGTTTACCACTTGTTTCAATAAAATCGCAACCACATAAAACAGACTATTGCGTAGAATCGCGCTTTCCACGAATCATAAATCCATTTCCCGCATGATCCATCCAAAACAGACTAAAGTCTCGTTATAACCCGTGATCGTAGATGTTGCACCAGAACAAATGCTAGGGTTTTGTTCAATCCAAGAGCTCCAAAATGAAACTAGGGTTTTCGAACATATAGCGGAAAAACAATACAAGAAACACCTGGATCCAAAACACAGATTATTCAAAAATTAGGATTTTGATCTATGGATTTACCGAGTAATCGACGCGAGAGAGAAATTTGAGCCCCGGATTTCTGGTCTTTGTTCTTCCCCATTAACCACATCCATAGAAAAGGAGGAACAAAATATAAACTAAAAAAACTTTAAGTTAATAATATCACGCGCTTGTTATTGTAATCCATGCGCCAAAGACTATTATTGAACGCCTCATTGGCGCGCCAAACATAATTGTTGAAAGTTGTCTTTACGCGCCATTTTAGAGCGTGGTGGTGAAGATAAATTTTATCTTTTGAGAAAATTAAATTTGGCATTTAAATAAATGTGAGCTCCGATAACTGTAATTTGGTGCTCCCTCTGCTTCTTTCCATTCTAATTTGTTTTCCTAAAGAGATGGGTCTCATTTTTTGTTTTTTTGTTTTTATTTTAATTTTAATTTTTTTTTAAGAATATAGTGTAATAAATAGGTGGTAGCGTATGAGTTAATTAGGGTGCTAATAAATTTTAATTTGTTTAATGATGATATGAATGACTATAAATATATGAATCCAATCATTCTTGTAGTTAAAACTAACACGAGCATAGTGTCACAACCATACTATAGAGAGTAGGTTGTGACCCTCACGCCATGACAAGCAAAGCGGCATCCCTAGACGCCCATCCGGCCACATGCAGGCCAATATAGAAAAGTATCATGGTGCAATTGATGAGAACGATCCATCATTCAACACACCACCACGCAAAGTGGGCATTGAAGACAAGTTGAGACATAAGCAAGACAGAGACATCATAATAGACATGAAGGACAAAGATAAGCTTGTTGAAGGGTCGGGTAGGGCCTCGGGCCTTAACCTCAAAAGTCAAGGTTTCGGAAGGAATTTGGGCATGCTCACAAAGTTTGGTTTCAATCGAATACCGGACAGACAATGCATGACACCGTATGACCGTTCACCAAAATCATGTCTATACCTGCAATAATGAAAATGGCTCAAAATGTGGGGTAACATGGTGATAGCTCTCCACCACCCCTGGGTCTTGTGGCCTAAGTGAGCTACCATGTGGCATATACGTGTGTCATAGTGTGGGAGAGCGTGCCGAGACGAGTGTTTCAGACGACTTCCTTTGAAATGGGTTTTTGAAGAACAGTATCGGACGGCACGGGTGTGCCGGTATTGGGCCCTAGCCCGCGAGTTGGAGGTTGCTACATACCCCGCTATCCGGTATGATATCTGCAAATGACTCGGCATGGGACAGGAGGGCCTATGCCTCGATAGAACTCGGATGGATGGATGTTCGGGAAGTCCCAATGAGATGAACGAAACACGGACCCATTCTCGATGGCATGACCAAGTGAGTTATGATGATCAACGACATCCCAAGACTCGGGACGGCGTCAAGACATATGGACTCTGTCGATGTGGATCGAGATGGCAAGATGAGATGCGACATTGCATTGAGAGACCTTGGCCCGAGCAGAGCCAAGATTGAGCCGAATGACTTGGCCTAGTGTAGAGGCAAGTCGGATGTGTCGCAAACGATTGAACATGCACGCGCAAGTGGCGTGTGTGGTTGAACAAGCTTGGATTCTGCACAAGCGATGTTCGATTGACGAAGACAAACCTTGCCTAAGGTCCGACAAAGTCACAAAGTCGGGGCGAAAAATATATATGGGGCTTAATTCCCCTTAAGGCTAGTCGTGAGCGTGTCAAGATCACGACGCCGCACGGTAAAAAATGTAGGACCGTGACACATAGCTCACACTTCCGTAATGGCTATTCGATAGAACAAATAATGTGTAGCAAATGCAAATAAAGGTCCACGTTTGGATAGATAATACGAATCCTCTTATGTGAAAAAATGTTTTGTTTATTTCAACGTCATATGTCCACTGGCCTTTGCTTTTTAGTTCGTCCTCGAATTGAACCACATCATACAACGAAAGTTTTCGATATCATTTTGTAACATGAATGCGAGATCTCACATTGGTTGGAAAGGGGAACAAAACATTCTTTATAAGAGTGTGAAAACCTCTCATTGGTAGACACGTTTTAAATCGTGAGGGTGATAACGACATGTAATGGATCAACATAAACAATATTTGCTAGGAGCTAAACACGAGGAGGTGTGCTAAGGATACTGTCACCATGGGTGATCCCACTAGTTAAAGAAACGGAACAAAACTTTTTTGTATAATAAAAATAAATAAAAGTATTAAATAAAATATTTATTCATTATTCTTTTTTTCCAACGAGGCTCTATCCTCTTAACAGGCGAGCATGGCGACCAAGGAAACCTTCCCTTATCCAATTTATTCATAGTAAGGACAAGTGACGAACTTACCCCTGATATTATCCGATTTTACAAAGATCAATCGCCTTACTGAGTTATGGTTTATTCGTAATAATATGGAAATACGAGGATATACTCGGGACTGGAAATTGCACAAACACCCTTTGGCTAAAGTTATCTTCTAATTCACCTCTTTCCCTGCGCGAAAAGTAGAAACATCGCTGAAGCTCCGATGGCTTCTTCTTCGCTGTTGAGTTCCGCTATGTCGTCATTTCATGGCCATTCCCAATTAGTCTCGGCCCATTTTCCTGCACCGACTGCCCTCGGATACCCTAGCAATGTAGCTTCATTGGCGGTGAGGGTAAAAGCCTCGACTGGAGGTGCTATAGTGCTTGTCGAGAAGGCAGAGGCTGAGAAGGTCAACCGGCTCAAATCAAACTACCTTGAGAAAATTGTGCCGATGCTTATGGATGAGTTCTCATACTCCAATATCCACCAGGTATTGACAGCGTAAATTGGGAGGTGTTGATTGAATTCTCGATTTATTAGCTCAATTGATCGCTGGAGTTCGTCGGCTTTTAATTCGGTAGAAGTTGGGTTGGATTCTGACTACATTGTTTTTGTTGTTCCGGAATGTTAATTTGTGTGTTCTGTAACTGTTTTTGTAATTGTTTCTTCTTATGTCAATTCATGGAATTCGACTATGCATATAAAATCTTGGCTTAGCGGGGCTTTCACTTTCATTTTATGGAGAGAAAGGAGCATCAATATAATGAGGCACGAGTATTTCTATGTTTGTATGCAAGTATTTACACCCACGTGGAAGATAAGGATTCTCGATGGATTAAGAACCTTGAAATCTGGGACCAAATTCATTTTTGTACTCAGCATTCTCCTAGATTAAGTTGATTTTTCATTTCTGGCTGTAATTTCAGTTACCGGGTCTCGAAGATTTTTGATTTTAGTGTTTTTCCCCTCCATCAAAAAGAATTGGCAACCCATATGATGACTAAACACAAATTCTTACGAAATATCTGTACCTTTTCTGTTAGGTTCCCAAAATTGAGAAGATAGTAGTGAACTGTGGTATTGGAGATGCTCAGCAGAATGCGAAGGGTTTGGAAGCTGCAATGAGTGAGTTAGCATCCATTACAGGACAACGACCTGTGAAAACACGTGCAAAGAAGGCCATTGCAACCTTCAAGATCAGGGAGGGTCAACCACTTGGGATTGCTGCTACCCTACGGGGAAATGTGAGTTTCACTTGTTCCTTTTAGAATTATGAGCTCGTCATTGTTTCTATGGATCTTCTTCTGTTATAGTCCTCAATGCTACTTGGTTTGATATATCTTGATACGGAAAATGCATGTTGATATTTGGAACTGGCTCTGATTTTCAATGCTCGTAGTCATAAACATTCCTTATGTTCCTTGTGATCAGTATGTGCTTTTTTTGTGGTTGGTCTAGTGCATTTCTCTTGTATGATGTTGTTGGGAATTCGATTCTTCGAGTTAATAGTCTAAACGAAGTGCAAAGGAATGACTTTGGAGGGGAGGGAGTTGCTCCTTCATGTCACGGGCTCAATGCACATCACCATAATACTCAGTTTAATGAAAAAGAGTTTTGTGCCTGTTATTGACGAGTCGAAAGGACAAAAGAGATGGGGGATTCTCGTGTATTGTTATAATGTAAGGTAACTAGTATCATCAAATGGAAGAAGTCATGCGTGTGGATGCAGCCACTTGTTGTATTATTTTGATTATCTGTAAATGCGTCAATGTGTTTTGTGCAGTGGATTTCTCTGTATAATGATATTAGGAATTCGATTCTTTGATATAACTGTCCAAAACAAGTGCGAAGGAATGGCCTCGGAGTAGGGAGTTCCTCCTTCACAGTCTTGATACTTGTTTAGTGAACAAGATTTTTGTGTCCATTATTATGGAATATGTGGAAGGACAAAAAATCTAAGGGGTATTAAAGATCTGGTGTCGTAATAATGGAAGAAGTTTTGGGTGTTGCTGCTGGCATTTGTCTTAAATGTTAAAACGACTTGATTCTTATGCTGCTTGCTTGCTGACTGCACTTATAGGTGATGTACTCCTTCCTGGATCGTCTGATCAACTTGGGGCTCCCTCGAACAAGGGACTTTCAGGGACTGAACTCAAACAGCTTTGATGGACATGGAAATTACTCCATTGGGATCCGGGAGCAGAGCGTGTTCCCAGAAATAAAGTTCGACACGCTTAGCAGACCGAGGGGAATGGACGTTTGTATCACAACGACAGCTGAAACTGATCAAGAAGCTCAACGACTCTTGGCACTCATGGGAATGCCTTTCAGAGAAAGTGCTGGTTCTGCATCTGGGCTGCGTAAAAAGAAGCTGAAGTCCCACCATTTTGATTCCAAATCCAAGGGAAGATCTCGGAGGTAATGAATACATTTTAGGAAGAAGACTTTTATATTTCCTCAATTCATTTGCTGTTCTTTACTTGAAGAAACTGTACTCTACCAAATTTAGCTGGATTGTATGCCAATTTTATGAAGTTATAGAGGTTTGTTTATGAGAGTAGTTCCTTTAACCCCGAAATTCTATCTGAAATTTGAGTCCTGAACAGTATTTTAGCATCGGATGCTGCATTTGAACAGTATTCCCATAGCCATTGCTCAAACCATAGGCCCTTGCTCTGAATAGTAAGAGAGAGATAATACCTAAAGAAACCAAACTTTTGTTTGAGAATTTGGACAAACAGTCGAACTAGATTTAAAGCTGCATCACTAGTTAGTTACCGTAAGTTATAGCATGTGAACTTATTGTCATTGTCCCCCTAAGAACAGGGAAGAAATTCTGCCTCCATGGCTGTTTTTTTTCGATTGTCGGAGGTTAATGTACAGCTCAAGTCCACCACTATTAGATATTGTTTGCTTTAGCTCGTTACGTATTGTCGTCAGTCTCATGGTTTTAAAATGCATATTCTAGGGAGAGGTTTCCACAATTTTTCGTTGGTCTCTCGAACCGATGTAGAATCTCACAATTAACTAGTGACTTATTCACTAAATTACGCTTGTTTGGCTCTGATAGCGCGATGGTTACATTTTTATTCTCTAGAAGAAATGTTTGATAGGTTATATAGATCAGTTTTATCGAATACTATTTGGAACCATGAAATAGATACCTGAGTTAAAAAAAAAAAAAAAAATTGTTTAGTTCCTATATGAATTTGACAAGCATATTGTCGATAAAAATCTATTTTGCTTGTGAACTTCGAAAACTTTTGATTCTTTACTATTCCCCATGGTATCGATTGTTTCATGATTTTATCTGTCTATTTATTTATGAATTTGATTTTAGGAGAAAAATAAACATTTGATCCCAACGTTTGAGTTTGATAATATTTTGATCTATAAGTTTAAAAAATCAACATTTTAATCATGAGGTTTGAGGTTTGTGATGGAAACCGTGCTTCTATTCTTCATCATGTTCATTTTTCCATTTCATCTCTCTTGGTTCGAACATATGATATCGTTTTTCAACACACTCTTATTCAGAATGATAAAATTACTGAGAAACTTTAAGAATTAAACAATTTAACAAGATTGCACGGGAGTGAGGATTAAGTTTAATAGAAAAAAAAAAGTCGGTGAAAATTTAATTGAAAAGAGTATATTGGAATATAAATCAATAAATTTGGTAAGATAAAGGTTAAAATTGATATAATATCTGAGTAAAAAGGATTAATTCCCCCCCCCCCCCCC